AAAAGGTCAGTTTACATTCTGATCCCAAAGAAGGGCAATGCCAAAGAATGTTCAAACTACTGCACCATTGCACTCATTTCACATGCTAGCAAAGTTATGCTCAAAATCCTACAAGCTAGGCTCCAGCAGTATGTGGACCGAGAACTACCAGAAGTACAGGCAGGATTTCAAAGATGCAGAGGAACTAGAGATCAAATTGCCAACATACGCTGGATCATGGAGAAAGCTAGGGAGTTCCAGAAAAACATCTACTTCTGCTTCATTGACTATGCTAAAGCCTTTGATTGTGTGGATCACAATAAATTGTGGCAAGTTCTTAAAGAGATGGGCGTACCCGACCATCTTATTTGTCTCTTGAGAAACCTATATGCAGGTCAAGAAGCAACAGTGAGAACTGGACACGGAACCACTAATTGGTTCAAAATTGAGAAAGGAGTTCAGCAAGGCTGTATACTGTCGCCCTGCCTATTTAACTTATATGCAGAGAACATCATGAGAGAGGCGGGGCTAGATGAATCACCAGTTGGAATTAAGATTGCTGGGAGAAATATCAACAACCTCAGATATGCAGATGATACTACTCTAATGGCAGAAAGTGAAGAGGAACTAAAGAGCCTCTTGATGCGGGGGAAGGAGGAGTGCAAAAGTTGGCTTGAAACTCAACATTAAGAAAACTAAGAACATGGCATCCAGTCCTCTCACTTCCTGGCAAATAGATGGGGAAGAAATGGAGGTAGTGACAGATTTTATTTTCCTGGGCTCCAAGATCACCGCAGATGGGGACTGCAGCCAAGAAATTAAAAGACGTTTACTCCTTGGGAGGAAAGCTATGGCAAATCTAGACAACATACTAAAAAGCAGAGATATCACCCTGCCAACAAAAGTGCGTATAGTCAAGGCTATGGTTTTCCCAGTTGCAATGTATGGCTGTGAAAGCTGGACCATAAGGAAGGCTGAGCGCCAAAGGATTGAGGCCTTTGAATTGTGGTGCTGGAGGAGACTCCTGTGAGTCACTTAGGCCACAAGGCGATCAAACCGGTCACTCCTAGAGGAGATCAACCCTGACTGCTCTTTAGAAGGCCAGATACTGAAGATGAAACTCAAATACTTTGGCCACCTAATGAGAAGGAAGGACTCCCTGGAGAAGAGCCTAATGCTGGGAACAATAGATGGCAAAAGAAGAAGGGGACGGCAGAGAATGAGTTGGCTAGATAGAGTCACTGAAGCAGTTGGTGTGAGCTTAAGTGGATGGTGGAGGACAGGAAGGCCTGGAGGAATGTTGTCCATGGGGTCGCGATGGGTCGGACATGACTTTGCGACTAACAACAACAAAATTCACCAAATCACAGGAAAGACCTCATTTTCCTAATTGTTCAACAAACTTCTGTATCTCAGCTGATAAAAAAAGACCATTAAATTCATAAACTTGATATAGTTTCAGCATTCTTAATCTCTTGGTGTTTGTATGAATCAGGAAGTTGAAGACTGTCTGTGTCCCAATACAAGAAATTGTTGCATTATATTGCAACTATTATTGCAATATAATTCTAACCAATCTTTTATCAAGTATTGCATTATAGTTCTAACTGATTTTATATCAAGTAATGGAAGTAAGGATTGAACAGTTGTGGTCAATACTAATCATTTTATTAGAAATAGTCTGTTTTCACTTGGAACATGAACCCTTCCAATTCAATGCATTATATGGAAGTCAGTCCTGCTGATTTCAGTGGACTTAATCCAAAGTAAGCAGGCATAGGCTACAATCGTATTCAAACTTACTTGGGGATAAATCACTAAGTGATTCTTGGCAGTATGCAATGCTGACATAAAACTAACATAAATCATGTTACACTAGCATAAATGATCTCGAGTACAACACTCATAGCATGTTGGTGTGACAAATTTCCCAGAAAACTTATCTTGCCAGCAAGTGCCTATTGGTGTTGTTCTAGAGGTCGTTTACACTACTGCAGCAATATTAGCAGAAGTATTACCTTGGATACTGCCTCTTATTTCCAAGTTAAATGTCTCAAGTCAAAAAAGATTATTTCAAAATTGCTGGAATGCTGAAATATATTCATAATAAAAATATAAATATACTATAAATATAAGAATTTTTTAAACATGGACTTACAACTTTTATGAACTCCCAATTTTAATGCAATTTCCTGCTATTATCTTGGTGTTGTATGCTAAAACATAGGTTTTGGTGGGATGTTTAGGGACAAAACATGTCTTATTTCATTTTTTAAATTAAAAAACCCACTTAAGTGCAATTTAGTAAATGTGCATGTTCACAATCATCCTTCTTTAAAGTTAAACAAAAAGATTTCATTTTCCTGGTAATTTACCAAGTTTTCATAAGACTGCAGTTTTGCCAGCTGATTACAGCAGAAGGTTTGTACTCTTAAAACCAGAGGAGGGGCTTGAAGGGGATTTTTAAGAATCAGGCATTTCCAAAAATGTAGCAGTGAAGTTTGACTATTCCATGCTGTGCAGAATTATACCATGCAAAAATCATTAGGGACACCTGACTCTAAACAGGAGCAGACTATATTGTTTTACATAAAAGCATTAGGACAATCTAAATGCATAAAATTGGGCTTTTAGCACCCCCTTAATGAAAGGTAGAATCCTAATCTTCCAACAGCACATAGTGATAAAAATGGGCATTATCCAGTACTGCTCTGCTGCATATGCAGGGCCAGCATAAACAAGCTCTAGCAAATGTTTCCTGTGATGCCAGTAATGTTATTGGTATTGTGCTAGATATTCCTTACACTAGTACTGGGGAGTACTGTCATAGCTATAATATTACTGGCACTACACTAGAGCTTCCTGACACTAGTTAACTGCGTAAGAAGAGCAACAGTTTTGGATGCTATTATTTATTTATTAGATTTATATCCTGTTTTTCGGGAAATGGCTTGTCAAAGTGGATTGTATCATTCTCCTCTTGCTGTTCTTGTACCATTCTCCTCCTTGCACATATTTAGGACTACTTCAAAGACTGATTACTGCACAACTATTTTGTCTATTCTTCCTTAAAAGATCTTTTGTGTTAAGAAAAGCATAGCTACATGTTGGGAAACCACAAGAGGTTTACCAACAGGAGACATCATGAGGAGCCCAGTAAATTTTTGTTTTAAGGAGGGTTATTGCACAATATATGAGAGAGCCAATGTGGCATAGTAGTTAAGTGTGCAGGACTAGGACTTAGGAGATCTAGGTTCCAGTCCCCATTCAGCCATGAAACTGAGTAACTTAGGGCCAGTCACAGACTCTCAGCCCAACCAACCTCACTGGGTTGTTGTGAGGATGAGACTGACAGGAGGTGGAGAATTATGTAAGCCACCCTGAGTTCCTTAAAAGGAACGGTGGGAAATAAATATAACAATAATACATAAATGAATGCCTCAGCAGGAAGCACATTTTCACTCCCTCACCCTTTGGCTACTCATTAGTCTGTATGCTAATCATACTCAAAGTGGCTCATCTTAGGCAGGTCCAAGGAAGAGGCCTCAAAACCTTTTGACAGAGACTTACACACCACTTTTTCTCTTTCTCCTATTAGGATACACATAGAAACATAGGAAGCTGCATTATACTAATTTGCATAGTCCTGTATTATGGAAACTGACACTTGTTGGGTTAGGGGCCTGCAGGAGGAGCAGGTCCTTCGGGCCTAGGCAGATTCTTTTCCATCTGCTGCTCTTTTTAGCCACGCAACTGCAACACCATCTCATTAAAGAAATCTCACAGTTGTTGTTGTTGTTGTTGTTGTTGTTGTTGTTATTATTATTATTATTATTATTATTACATTTCTATGCCGCCCCTTGCCGAAACCTCGGGGCGGCTTACAACATGATAAAATACATTGAAATACAATAGTACATAATAAATTACCATTAAATATAAAAATACAAAAAAATACATTGATTTACAAATACAAAATTAAAATTATCAGTATAAAAAGTTCTGGAGTGCTTTCCAGGGTTTCAGGCAGGCATTTTCCCAGGCCTGCCTGGAAATGCTAGGAGCTTAATATTGGTCCTTCCGCTTGCAAAGCAGGCATTCTACCACTGAACTAAGGCCCCTTTCTCCTGTAGATCTCATATCTCCACCAGATATCCCTCAGCTCCAACATCCATTCCCAGTAATTCGGAGTTTGGAAAGACATCGATTTGTTAATCAAAATCCTTAAAAGTATGCGACAAGGAAGCACTTTCTCTGCATCAGACGAATCGATCCCATAAAGGAAGCCACACCTTGAGTTTACAAGAGCTAAGCAGTGGTCCCAAGGACAGGCCATTTTGCAGAGCTTTTATTCATAGGATCACCACAAGTCCAAGACGACTTGATAGGACGTAACAGCAACGGGAACAGCTTCATGTTCCTCAGCCAATGGAATAGCGAAGAAATGTCAAAGCCTAGTCTTACGGAATAGCCATATGTATTATTTCATTTATGAAGCACACAAGAGACATTTCGTTTCGCTCCTTCCCAAGTATCATTCCATGTTTTAAAACTGCTTCTCGATTCTTCATATTTTCGAAGAATGAAACTATTTGCCAACCCTGATTACAAAACACAAAACAAAATCCCCAACTCTGAGCATATGAAACCTTTCATTTTAAGCATTTTAAATCACAGCACCATAGCGACTTATAGGAATAAACAGAATTTGCTTCGGCTGTCCAGATGCTCTCATCACCTGCCACTCTCAGTGTTCATTTGGGGACCTTCATTGCTGCGGAGACCTGGACTTTGGTCCCTAAATATATTACTTCCTGCATCAACTTATTAGATCTGTCACCGCTCCTTCCATCTCGCAAGATCCCGGTTCTTGGTCGCCGCCTTCCTCCACGCGGAACTTTCACAAGATCCTCCCGGACCTAGTGGTTCGACCCAACACACGGGCACTCATTCCTTCCTGTCGTAGTGACCATCTCGCGATATTTCTTGCGATCTCACGCCACCGAGCACTCCAGCATCGCGAGATTCCCTCGACAAGATGGTGGCGCGGTCGGCTCGTTGAGAAGAGCGGCAGGTGGAAGCGAGTCTGAAGGAGGCTCAGCTTTGCTCGGAATCCTTCAGACCTCGGGGTGTCCCGGGGTGGGGTCGGGGTGGGGAATGCAGTCGGGACAGGACTCGCCACCGCGGCTCTGAGCGCTTCGAGCCCCCCGCAGCCACTGCGGCGCCGCGTCTCTCCGTCCGCTCCCGTGGCCGCCGCTGGCGATGACCGGAGAGAAGCTGCGCTCGCTGCGCAGAGACCACAAGCCCAGCAAGGAAGACGGGGACCTGCTGGCGCCTGGCGAGGAAGAAGCGGCGGCCGCACCTGGAGGAGGAGGCGTCTTCACCGGAGGCCGGGCGGGGAGCGGCAAGGGCGGCCGTACCGGGAGCCACCGCATTTTCACCAATCACCACCGACTGCCCCTGAAGGGAGGGCCAGGGGGGTCCTCTCCAGTCGCCGGTCCCGAGTCCGACAAGTGTCCGGCGGCGCAGTTCCCCGTGCATGAGTGTGTCTTCAAGGGGGACGTGAGGCGGCTGTCAGCACTGATCCGCACACAGGGCATCGGCCAGAAAGACAGTCACGGTAAGAGATGACGCTTGGGCGCCCTTTGCCAGTCTCGATGACCCAATCACCTACTCTGACCCTATCCAGAGTTGAACCTTCCGCTGCCCGCTCCTCTGAGGCAAGGAGACTCCCTCGCTGCTCGTCCTGTGTTTGTCCCAGATTACTGTTAATCCGGTGATAGGTCTACCACTGCCAAGTTCCAGCATTCGGCTCGGTTTTGGAATATGCCTGGAAGAGTTTCATTGTCTCCCCATCCCAAGAGTTCAGCCACTCTCAGAAGAGGGGCTAGTTTTGAATGCAACCTAGAAAATCAAAACAGGGACGTCCCCACTTTATCTTGGTAAAGTCTCTCTGTCCCTGATCAACAGAGCTTGTGGTAGGATTGCAATTGCTTTATCTTTGGTGGGATATGTGTCTGCTCTTGTTCTCCTGGGGATCCTAGGGCCCTCTGTGGTAAACTTATCATGGTGACCTAACTGTATCGCAGTGACCAAATAAAGTAGCTTTAGCTTAGAAAGGCTTTGTGATGGCAGAACCTTTGTTGACCCAGTTCTGGGTTGTGTCAGACTAAGAAATATTAGGCTAGGAAGGGTCAGTGCACAACATGAGCACATGCTACTGAGAGAATTTAGTTTTGGGGTGGGTGGGAATGTAGTCTTGAGATTTTATTCATTCATTCATTCATTCAAAACTACCAAGGTCTCGAGACCATCTTACAATAAAACAAAGTGGAGCACAAATTGATTTTCTATACAATAAAAGCCTACATTAAAATCAGACTCAGACCTTTAAATAATGGGAAAAAAAAAAGTTTTAGCCTGGCACTGTTGGCGCTAGGTGTACCTCTCTGATACATCAGTTTTTCTTTTCAGTGGGCAATGGAACAAAGGTTACCTACTTACTCTTAAGCTATTTACATTTATACAAGGTAGTTGCCATTGAGGACAGAACTGTTTATCCTGGAGTTAAGGTTTCAAGTCAGCAAGACTGCTTATGAGGTTAGCCTCTCCGTTTTATTCCAGAAGCAATGCATCAGTGTAAATTACAGGTACAATTAATCCTTCCCATTACATACATGATGATAACTCTTCATATTTAAATGTGTTGGCATATCATATCTTTTAAGTAGGAATAGATGTTTCCTAATCTGTAATGTTGTAAATATATAAAACCTCAAGTGTGCAGAAAGTATGCTGCCCACTGGGTTTCTGTCTTTACTTGGGATGCCACTCTCAGCCAAAATCCTATGGATGCTTGGAAGTAATTCCTATCAATTAATGTGTTAGACTGGACAGCATGTGCTCCCTTCATCTCTACCCATGGGAAGGACTTTCCATTTTTTTTTTAATATATATATGCCGTCCTTCGCTATCGCGTCTCAGGACAGCTTACAAAATTAAAACCAATAGTCATAAAAACAATCAATAAAACAGTACAATAAAAGTACTGTAAATCAATACAGATGAATCAAAAGTGACTGTGAACCACTAAAAAAGCTAATTTTTAAAATAACGATTAAATAAAAAGGTTTTGGCCTGGCACCGAAAAGAGTATAAACATGGCACCAGGCGTACCTCTCTGGGGAGTACATTCCAGACTCTAGGCTCCACAGCAGTGAAGGCCCTACTCCGAATAGATGACCTCTCTTAGAGTGGGTTCCTGGAGTAGGGCTTCTCCCATAGATCTTAAGGGGCGTGAGGGCATATAAGGAAGGAGACGTTCCTTCAGGTATCCTGGTCCAAGCCATTTAATGTGTCTGTTAGGAATATTCCTATTCTGGAAAGAAAATTGACAGTCTTTACCATCATGTGAGGATTAGATTTTCCAATAGAATAATTGTGATGTTACCTGTATTTTTGTCCTGCAGCCGTATACTTGGATTGTAGCCAAATTTTAATATAATACTTCTTTCAAGGTGTGTGCTTCATTTTAATTCATATTTCAGCCTTTTTCTTCAGTCTGATCAGATCACACTGAACTTGTAGCATCCAGCAGTGCTATCATGGTCATTCAAGCACTAGTTTGAGAAAGGATGGTTGCCCGGTTGTAGTAGGCTGAGGGCAAAGCACAAATATTAGAAGCAACTATTGTTTATTAAGTGAACACTGGTAATTTGAGATGGAATCCATGTGTCTTTTGACCACTCACAGATAATTTCTCACAGGAAAAACTAAGGGGAAAATTTGTTTCTCTGTTCGGTCAGAAATTCAAGTGGTATTACATTGAGTCCCAGGCTATATGCATTTATTTAAGTGGCCAGAGATTCTTTCAAGAGATTATGCTTTAAAATATTGGTAGTCCAGGTGCTTTTATGTCAATAAAAAATAAAGAACAAATTATCATGAGCACTGAGGAAAGCTTTGATGTAAAGTACAGATAAGGGCAAAGAACCCTTCAGAATAATATATATATTTGAGAAGAAAGTATCAGGAAGGCTAAAGTGAGTGAGGCAAGGAGGCTGAGGTACCACCAGGATCATTCATACTGTTTTATTTTTTATATTTATATCACACTTTTTTCCAAGTAGCTTATATTATTTTCTTCCTCTCAATCTTATATGCACAACAACAACCCAGCCCAACAAAGTAGGTTGGGCTGACAGTCTGTAACTGGCCCAAGGTCCATGGCTGAGTGGGAACTAGAACCCAGTTTGCCTGAGTCTTAGACCTGTACTCTCAACCACTACACCACACTGGCCCTCTGGCATCTGTGTCCTCCCCTTCCCACCTTCCAGAATGGCTCCAAAAACATTTATGCAGACTTTCTTGCAACATTGGAGCCACAGTCAGAGCATTTCTTTCCATACCAGCGGGGATGGGGGTGGAAGGTGCACCAATTTCAGAATCCCAGCTCTGATTCAGAAATGGCACTTTCTCAAACTGGGGAGAGGAAACAAGTTGTGTACCACAGGGTTCAGTCCTGGGCTCAGTACTCCATAACATTTTTGTTATACTTTGGAGCATCTTTCCAAGGTTGGTACACTGAAAAATCTTATGACTGTCTAGACCAGTGATGGCGAACCTTTTAGAGACCGAGTGCCCAAACTGCAACCCAAAACCCACTTATTTATCACAAAGTGCCAACACTGCAATAAAACCTTAATACTGAGGTTTTAGTTTAGAAAAAAGAAACAGCCAGTACAAGCAAATACACACACACACACACACACACACGGCAGTCACTGACCGGCCATGCGAAAGCTTGGATGAGTCATGGCGAATGAGTCAAGGTTCTTGATGTCATCGCCTGGCACTGCTACTCCTTTCCGAGCATGCACATGGGCCCTATGTGCGCTGTTATCCGATGCTCGGCTGCTGGGACGATGCTGGTGCAACTTGGCTTGCGTGCCAACAGAGGGGACTCTGTGTGCCCGCTGTGGCACTTATGCCATAAGTTCGCCACCACTGGGTCCTCAAACTACAGCCTGCGGGCCGGATTTTGCCCCCCATGCTGATTTATCTGGCCTGCCTCAGAGCTTTTGGACTCGCTCGTAGAAAATGATCTCCAAGTGAGTCCAAAAGCTCTGAGCTGGCGCAGGCATACTTGGAAGGTGGGTGCGGGTGTGCTCGTGCAGGGAAGTTGCATGCAATTGTGGTCGAGCTTGGTGGGGGGGGGGGGAGACGGCCGCGATTGCGCCCGCCTTCCCTGCACGAGCATGCCCACACCTGCCGCCTCACCGAGGCTGCAGCCTTGCCGGCCTCTGTCTGCTGCCACTGCCTTTCAACTGGCCCCCTGTTGAAAAAGTTTGAGGACCCCTGGTCTAGACAGTACCACCATATTTTTCATAAAAGCTGTGGATGGTATAGGGGGTAGATACCCTCTCAGGAAAAGCACTAAAAATTGAGAAAATCCTGTTCTAATGTGGTGTCTAAAATCTTGGTACCCAGAACTGGACATAGTACTCCAGATGAGGCCTAACCAGTGCTGAATAAATGGGAAGTAGTACTTCACATGATTTGGAACTGATACTTGTATTAATGCAGCCTAAGGCAGCATTTGCCCTTCTTGCATCCACATCATCGTTGATTCATATTCAGCTTGTGATTACAACAGTTCCACGATCCTTCTCATTTAGAGTATTGCTGAGCCCAGTGCTCCCCATCTTGGAACTATGCATTTGGGTTTTTTCCCCCCAGGTGCAGAACTTGGCATTTGTCCCTATTTCATTCTCTTGTTCTCAGTCCAGCATGTGAACCTATCAAGATCACCTTGAACCTTCTTTCAGTCTTCCAGGGTATTAGCTATCTCACCCAGTGTTGTGTCATCTGCAGATTTGATAATCATTCCCTGTACTTCCTCATCCTAATTATTAGTAAAACTGTAGCCATAAAGTTGTTCAAAATAGACTGAATAACCTGGAGTGCTTGATTTTTGGCTTCTGCACAGGATCGCTCAGTTCAAAATTAGAGGCTGCTGGGCAATTGTAACATTCATATGAAAAGACTTGACTCATCTTAGCAGTTACTCCTGCAAGTAGAACACCCACTTTTTCATTTAGATATGGCTACTCAGATCTAGCAAGCTTTCCAGAGCATAGTTCAGTTTTGATGAATTTCCATAGGTGCAGCTTTAGGTTGTTGACAAGGTGCTTGGACCAGTTTGTGTAACTATCTCTTTGTTAAAATTTATTTTCGCAAGGTACAATAAGAAGAAAAAGGAAATGAAAAAGAGAATGTCAACAGTCAATCCACTAATATGGCATGTAATATCAACATTTAAACATCAATAAAAAAGTGAAAATCTGCATCGGCCATAGTCTCATCTAAGCAATTGAATTCTCAATCAAAATTTGCCCCGTCTATGAAATTACCTGTAAATTATAACATTTCTTTGACTTTAGAGATCACTGGCACATGCGCACGTGCGCGCGCGCACACAGAGTAACAATTAATTACATTGCTCATAATAAGCTTTTCATCATTGAGTAAATTATTTGATTGGCCTTCTGTTAATATAATCAGTTTATTTTGCCATTGTTGCATAGTGAGCTAATTTATTTTTCCAACCATCGACAGTTGGGCAATCTGGCTTTCCATTTTGAAGCAGTTATTACTCTGGCTGCTGTTGTCATTTATTTAAATAACTCTATCATAATCTTTGGAATACAATACTTACAAAGTACTCTGGAACAGTACTCAATTAAATATTCTTGACATTCTTTGGAAAGTCAATTTTAAGTATTTTCTGCATTTCCATGTGTATCTGCTTCCAAATTGTTTTAATTTTATCACATATGGTAAGAAGTCCCATCTATCTCTTTCCATTTCCAGCATTTTGCATTAAATTTCTTGTCCTTTTTTTGTATACCTTTTGGGGTAATACCAAGTACCTCTTATAACAGTTTTCTCTTTATGCGTGACTTGCAGTGAATTTTATATCCTTTGTCTATAAGACTTCCCATTGACAAGACTGTATTTTTTTCTTCAAAATTCTGTGCCCAACTCTTCATGCATATTTTAACTTGTTGAATTTTAGTATCATTTTTAAGCAATAGTTTATAAATTCATCCTTGGAGATGGTCTTTTTGATGTTTAATTGTAATTTCAAAATCAGATTCCATATTATGCTTTTTTCTGTTTGAGTTTCTTTTTTTTTAATCTATCAGTTGATGATAGAGGAACCATTCTGTATTTTTTCCTTCATCTTTTAGTTCTTGCTTGGACTTAATTGTCCTTGTTGGTCGACCATGTTATGAGATCATTGTTTACCCTACCTCTATTCTAGATCCTTGCTACTTTTGGCTAATAAAACTGCAGAGAAGGAATAGCTGGCTGAGCTAGGGAGGTGATTGATGCCTCCTTGAGAAAGTGAGTGATTCCATACCACCTGAAGAAGGCAGCATTGAGACTATTCCTTAAGGTATCTTCCCAGGATGTGGAAGATTCTAACCATTTTATGGTAGTGGCAAATTTTTCCCTCCTGGTTAGGGTTCTTGAGTGGGTGGTGGCAGTCAGTTCCAGGCACTCTTAGATGAGACATGCATCCATTTCAGTCAGGGTCCAACCTGGGGTTTCGGCACAGAAACAGCTTTGGTTGCCCTGTATGACCTGTGGCAGGAGAGAGAAAGGAGAGTGCAACCCTGTTAATACTCCTAGACGTCTCAGAGGTCTTTGATACCATTGACTGTGTTATCCTTTCAGGCAACTGTCTGAGCTGGGAGTAGGTAGTACGTCATTGCAGTGGTTCCATTCCTGTTTGGATGGCCAGCTCAAGAGAGTGGTGCTTGTGGAATACTGCTTGGCCCCATGGATTCTCCAGCATGGGTTCCTCAGGGGTCAATCTTATCCCAATACGGTGGTACCTCGGCTCACGAACGTAATCCGTTCCACGACTCTGGTGGCTACCTGAATTGGTTGCGAGCCAATTCAAATTCTCCCATAAGGTTCAATGTAAATAAGTCAAATTCCCCCATAAAGTTCAATGTAAATAAGGTTAATCCATTCTGACCCCTACAAACGTGGTTGCGAGCTGATTAGGTTCAATGTAAGTAAGGTTAATCCATTCTGTATTTTTTTTTAATCACAAAAATTTGAAACAAAGTAACAAAGAACAAAGTAGCAAAGTACAGTACAGTAGAGAACACTAACCTAGGTGGGGGGGGAGGTTATTGTTTGGAGGGAGAATCCAAACCATAATTGTGTGATAGTAATCGTGCTTGTGGGGGGCGGGGGGAGATGGCCGCGATTGCGATCATGCTGTGGAGGAGATGGCTGTGATCACAGGTGCTCTCATGCAGGGAAGACAGGCGCGATTGTGGGTGTGCTCATGCAGGGAAGATGACCGTGAATACGATTGTGTTCATGCAGCAACATGGTCACGATCATGGTCATCACCCAATGCGGAGTTCATGAACTGAGGCAAAATTTTTCTGAAATTTTTGTTTGAGACCCAATTTGGTCATGAACTGAGGCATTTGTGAGCTGAGGTACCACTGCAGTATTCAATATCTACATCAAATCATTGAGTAAGATCATCTGGAGTCTTGGGGTTGCCATTACTATGCTGATGACGTATGCACCTCTATTTCTTCTTTTCATTCTCATCAGATGAGGCTCTGGATGTGCTAAACCAGTGTCTGACTGTGACAATGGACTGGGTGAGGGCTAACAAACTGAAATTCAGTCCAGACAAGACTGAGATGCTGTTGGTGGGTGGTTCCTCTGACTGGATGGTGGATGTTCAACTTGTTCTGGATGGAGTTACACTCCTCCTAAAAGAGCAGGTTTGTAGCTTAGGGATGCTCCTTGATTTGTCTTTTTCACTTGAAGCTTGGGTGGCTTCAGTGCTATGTAGTGCCTTCTACCAGCTTTGGCTGGTGGCCCAGCTGCCTCCCTATCTAGACATAGTCTAATTTCTGCTTTGGTGATCTCTCAAAAAGATTACTGCAATGTACTCTAGATGGGGCTGCCCTTAAAGAATGTTCAGAAACTGCAACTTGTACAAAATGTGTCGGATGAATAAATGGAACCAACAGGTCTGAAAAATAACACCAATCCTGGAATGCTTGCCTTGGCTGTCTCTATGCTTCCAAACCCAGTTCAAGGTGCTGGGTTTTAGCCTATGAAGACCTATATGACTTGGGACCACAATACCTGATGGAATACCTCTTCTGTCCTCAATCTGCCAGAACCCTGCAGTCTGCATCTTGGGGCCTTCCTTCAACTGCCAACTCCTAGGGAGGCCCAGAAAGAAGCAACAAGATAGAGGGCCTTCTTAGTTAATCCCCTCTCCCACATTATGGAATGATCTTCCCACTGAGGTCCACCTGGTGGCAACATTGTCAGCATCAGGTTAAAACTGCACTCTATTCCTAGGCATTTAATGTCATTTAATAGCAAATGATGGGTTATATCAGCTGTTTTAATTTGGTCTAGTTTAATTGAAATTGTTTTACATGTTTAAACTGTTTTACATTCTTATTTATTGGAATTTTAACCAATTTCAAATTTGTATACTAGAATGTTATGCAGTTTTTTATTCTTGTATTTTATTGTATCTTTTACATTTTGAGAAAGTGCTGTGAACTGATCAGGGACTTTAAGCTATTGGGTGGTATAAAAATTAATTATATTAGCTATAATTTGTTGGATAGTTCTGGCTGATAAAGATGACAACAGTTTAGTGTGTCTGGGTGTGCAGCTTGTTTTCTTCTAGACATTTTAGTCTGCATTTCCAGTCAGTGCCAGCCAGAAAAGCAAAATAGGTCAAAACATCTGGAAGTACCCCAAAATCTTCCTTAATTTTGTGGCCATACTTCTGAAATTTTCTACATTTGAGATTGTATTTTTCCTCTACTATAAGGAAAATGATTGCTGTTCTCAAAAGCTGACTTCTATGTCTATTATCAAAGTTTGCTCTCAAATCACAATGGCAGAAATCCCCATAACCCTTGTTGCTATGTGTTTTAAGCTGTTAATCTAACTTCTTCAGTAACTAAGTATTTTGAAATTACCGATGTACCATCTTACTTAATTATATCATAGGAGTTTGCAATGTAGTAAATGTAAAAATATACAGTTTCCATTATCATACCTTACATAAATGTTAATCTATATAAAACTGGAGCTATGTGATGAATAAATAAAATATACTCATCAGTTTTTTATTAGGATAAATTTATTATAGGTTGTGACCTAGATCTGTCATTATTGATAACAGTGGAGACTACAGACTTTAATTAATTTTTGTAATGCCCCTTCATTTTTTAAAATATTTTTTTAATTATTCTTGTTGCATTAATCAGTTTCCCAAGAGTACAGTTGAAAATAACAATACAGAAATTGTAGTAGAGTAACTTGCCATATGATATCATGGTGTTTATTCAGATCAAGTGGAAAACAATACGGTTGTTACATTTAAATCAGCATAATGTTAAATCTGAGTTATCAGTGTGAAATTTGATATTTTGTTCTACCTTAAATTTCCTGTTGACTCATTGAAACCCCCCTTTTTTTTCTTTATAGGAAACACTCCGTTGCATCTTGCTGTGATGTTGGGGAATAAAGGTTGGTAATGGTGCACTCATATCTGCTTTAAAAGAAAATATTATTCCATAGAATATTGGAACAACTAAACTACCCAAGCCAGATTTTTTTTCCTTTGCACATTTTGAAATTTCTTGAAGGGAACAACAGAATGAGTAAAAGGAGAATTGGGTTTTTTCCCCCTTTTAATCTTCTCTCAGCTTTCTAATCAGGAAAAAAGCTGTGGAAGACAGGGCAGAAGGTGACTGAAGAATGGTCCTACTGAGAAGAGAATGCTCCCTTCTCTCTTATCCCACATCTGCTCCTTCTTGCTCCTCCGTGCCATGTTTCCTGTCATGGGGAAGGGGGAGAGTAGTGGTAGCTGGACTTGCCTACTGAACACCCATTCATACTGGCCTGCTAGTAAACTTATTGTTATTCAAACCCTCTGTAAAAATTCTTACTGCCTCAGTTAATACTTGCTAGGGAGGTACTATGGTGGCAATATATTTGTGGAGTAGATTAGAATTGTAGAGTGGAATGTATGAAAATACCACCCTTCAATTTTTCAAGAATTGTTAGTTTTGTCTGAGTTCTGGACTAAATCCAGTGGGTTGGATTCATACTTGGCTATGCTTAGAGTAGACACACTGAAATAAATGAACTTAATTTAGATAAGAGCTGATTTTGGTCCTATTGATTTTAGTGAGTTTAGTCTAAGAATGCATAGGTCTAGATTCACCTCATTAAGGCCAAAACCCGAATTTCTCATTTTTTTCCCCAAAGTCTCCTACTTGTCCATTCATCCATTAACAGGGTATCATGAGTTAGTCCCTTCCCTCCTTCCTTTAGGTTCCAAAATTCAAGGCAATAATTTGAAATACACGTTTTTTAAAAATTGAAAAATTGAAAAGTTAACAGAACAGTTTAACTTGAAATAACCTGTTATGGGAGCTAGAGGGAGAAGTCTCTGTTCATGTAAAGAGCTGAATCTAAAGTGGAAACTTCTCTGCAGTCCCTCCCTTTTAGTAAGCTGCTGGCTCTACCCTTGGGACTCCTCCTGCTGGAGAGCAAGATGGTGAGAATGCCAGAGCCCCTCCAGCTGAACAGCTTGTTTCTCCTGATGCCTCCCTACTGGGTCAAGGACCGGATTTTACACTGCTCCTTCCCCATCCTGAAAACCTTTCCATTTATTCCAAAACAAACTGACTTTCATGTTCAGTGTGAAAAACTAGGGTGGATAAAATCAATGATTTTTTAAAACAAATCATTAAAAAATTAAATCAGATTTCATAGAATCAAAGAATAGTAGAGTAGGAAGGGGATGTGAAGGCCATTGGGTCCAACCCCCTGCTGTTGCAGGATACCAGTTTGCACCATAATTAGATAGATTTTTTAAAATTCACATTTTACAAAAATACTTTTGAGGAAAAATCTATATAAAGATAGTTTTCTATTTAAGATACAATATCGTCCAAAGGTTATTCATCATGAAATAAGGCTTTTTTAATGAAATAGCATGAGACTGTATATTCATGCAGTGTTTAAATTTTTGGGTAAATTAATTCCGTTAATCCATTCACAATGTCATGCTCTTCCAGAGTTTTGTGTAAGATTGTTGGGCAAGTTTTTATTTATTTAAAACATTTGTATGCCACCCTATTATGCCACAGCACCTTAGGGCGGCTCACAATGCAAGATATTATCTAGAAGATACTATCACAGATGCTTGGTTTTGCAGTTCTGAAAACTGAATATGTGTCTGCACAGATCACATGCTCCTTCTTCACAGCAAAAATGTTATAAAATAAATATACAAAGTTGAGAAAAAAACCTTAGTCCCATTGTTCCTTTGCAAATCTATGTACATAGAATCAACCCCTTTACCTCTTAAGTGCTGTGTTTCAAAAAATTTTATGAATCAAATTAGATTGTTGGGAGTGGAATAGATCTGCATCAGCAGTTAAGTGTGAGGAAGGAGGGACAAGTAGTAAAAATGAAAATGAAACCTTTTGAGCAGAATACTCCATAAGTCTTTGAATCTTTTTGCCTATAGCTTAAGGTTTATCATATTATTCTTTAACTGGCAGAGAAAACTTATAAAGGCAACAGGTCATAAAAGAGATCCAGTTTGGGAATATTTTAATGAAGTTCCTCTACTTAGAAACAGGCATGCATGCAAAAACATAATTTAAATCTAGTCTTACTGACTAATTATTTAAATTGTGATTTAAATCTGTTCAATTTAAATCAAATCCATCCTATGAAAAACTTCACTAAGTAATCTTGAAGGAACTTGGTTCAGCCTTCCTTTGCTCCTGCTCCTCCCACTGCATGACCTGTGCTAGGTGAGAGACTGGCCCACTCTCTACACAGGGTCACTCTCCCTGCTGTTGAGGCATGAAGCTTTGACTAATTGTGATTCCTTGCTTTCCTTTGCACCCCATCTTTAGTTTCGTCACCAAGTTATGGTACCACCTATACAGAAATACTGTGTTACACAAAACCTGTGATCCTGAAGGTTTGTTTTCTTTGCCCATTTAAGACAGATTAGCAGAAATACTGCTTTTCTAATCAAAGTGATTTTTTTAAAATGTTGCCATTCAGCTTGAGAGCCAGCATATTACTGTGGTTAGAGTTCTAGACTGGGAATCATGAGATCTGGGATCTAGTACCCACTTAGCCACAAAGCTGTCTAGGTGACTTTGAGCCAGTCATTGACTCTCAGCCTAACCTTCATTACAAAGTTGTTGTGACGTTAAAATTGAAAGCAGGAAAGGGTTTTTGATTTGAAGTTGGAATCTAAGTTAAAATGTTGGGAGTCTAAGTTTTGGATTCCACAAAGCCATGGACACTCCTTTTACTTTTTTCATGCTGTATGGTTGCTTGCTAAGAATCATAGTATGGTGTAAAGTCCATGGGCTTAGGAGCTACTCTCCACCCTGGCTGAGAGATGGGGTTAATGGGCTTGCATTTTGTGGCTTCTTTTGTAGTGATAGAAATAGGATTCTCTATGGGTGAGAGCCAGGCAGGGGGAAAAGTTTCAAGAACTTGCCAAGTGAGAGTTGGAGTGAGAGTGTGAATATAGCAGAGGGGGTTGTCTTTTTGCTGTCTAGTGGGTTGGCAGGCTAGCTGATCATAACCACTGGTTGAAATGTTATGACTGCATTGGATTGTCTGTGTATGACTGGTTGATGAATTGTGCATGTGTGGTTTGAATATTTGACGGCATGTTTGCATTGCAAACAAGTACTGAATGGTGGTAATTCTTGGTGCAGCAAGATGTACATGGAACAGTACAGGCACTCAGGAAGGTGGTACCACCATCTTAGTAACTTGGGGCAGGAAGAGGGCATTAGGATTTCAGAGTATAATAGGTTACAGATGTTTATATACATTTTCCTTTTTACCACATTCTCTGGCTCTCTCTTAATCATGGATGAGGAGACTGATCTGGCCTGAACTACTGATACTTGGATGTGTGAGCTGGGTAGGGTTGAGCTGACCCATTTTTTGCTCACTTGGCTACCTGATGTACCTCCAGCATAGGCTAGAGGGCCAGGATAGGGGGCAGGGGAGTTGCAGTGATTCATCGAACTTACATCATCACCACCAGGAAACCATTCCTCCTTGGAGTAGGCCTTGAGGGCCGTAGAGACAGATTGGGCATGCTGCTTGTATACTGTGCACAGTGCTGCCTGTCATCCTTCCTGATTGAACTGGCAGAGTTGACTTATGATGTTAAACCCAAGATGGTGGTCCTGGGTGCTTCAATTTCCATGCTGATGCTGCCCCTGGAGACCTGGCTTGGGACTTCATGACATTCATGGGGCTGTCTTACATTGCCATCAGTCTGGCACATGAAGCAGGCCATACCCTTGACCTGGTCTTTGTTCTGGGTTGTGAGATGAGTAGTCTGGAAACATGGAAAGTCCAAGTTACCCCATTGTTACAGCAAGAGTGTGTTTTTGCTGAGGTTTGAACTAACAATATTGCTTCCTTCCTTCAGGGGTGAAGTGCCCATTTGGATGGTGAATCCAATGGATTTCCCAGTAGATAGGGCTGGTGATCCAGCCAAGCCCTTAGTCTCACTGTTGATGGTGAGATGCTGAGGGCTGGAGACTCAGTTGCATCCAGGTGCCCTCTCCAGCACTGTAGGCACAGCATTGTTCCTTGGTGAACTGAGAGGCTGCATTTGATGAAATTGGCTGGATGATAGCTGGAGGCCAAATGGCATAAAACTTGAAGTAAAGACAACTGAACAGACTTTAGAGGACCTAATCATGTCTGTTGCATAGCTGTGCATACAGTAAAGGAGTGTTAATTTGTTCCTTTCATTGCATCATTGAGCAATTGTCCAGCAGAGTTGTTAACACTCTGGGGGCCGGTAACACTTTTCCTAGCAGATTGGGGCCCTAGCCCCCTCAAAAGTCTGTGGTGATCCTTTTTCATCACACTTTGAGAATAAAATCCACAGTGTACTTTATGCACTTACTAGTGCAGTTCCAGTTGAGGTGTGTGATGCCACCATTTTCCTGATTTTCTGGGATCATTTTCAGTTATAATGGGCTAATAACACAGACAAGCTATTTGTAGCAGTGTGATGAACAATGTGACCTTTTGATAAAAGCTAGTAGAGGTAGTTCTCGGAGTCATAAATGCATATTTTCATGAAGGAGTGGTTTCTTGCTGTCCTCAAGGAGGCAGTAAACTATTACTGGAAAAAAACCTTCCTTGAACTAATGGTATATGATAACTACCTCCAAATGGCAAATGCCTTTTTTAGGACTGGTACTTCAGATGGTTGTTGTGGAGCTAATGGAAAATACTGGTTATTTAGATCAATTTCAGTCACAGATTTTATTTTGTTATGGGACTGAATCAGCCCTAGTCACTCTGATGGATGACATTTATTGGGAGAGAGACAGGGAAATCCATCAATTCTATTTAACTTGTCTTTTGCTTTTGATACTACTGATCATCGTATCTCCCTAGATTGACTCCCTACATTAGCTATTGCAGGCACTACGAGGTGAGACACAGAAATAACCGGATTGTGAAGACAAAAACGGCAAGCCTGTTGAAGAGTCTCAGGCAAGAAGACTTCCAGCACTGTTTCAATCAATGGAAAATATGTATGGAGCAGTGTAGAGATTGAGAGGGGGACTATATAGAAGGTGACAATGTTCCAAATGCTGTAATTCATCAATAATTTTTTAAATTACTAATCCGGTTATTTTTGTGTCACATCTCGTATGTTACAGTGGTGCCAGCCTTACCTGCAGGATCAATTGCCGGGAATACTGTTGGGTGACTATTCATTGAACCTGTGGCAATTGTGGTTCTTCAGGCTACCATCCTGACCCCAGTGCTATTTAACAACTATATAATGTCTCCAGGAGCAGTCGGGATTTGGAGCTACGTGCCATCTGTATACTAATCATACACAGCTGTGCCTCCCTGTGACAAATGAATTAGGAGAGGCTGTACAAGTCCTAGATTAATGTCTGAACTCAGTGATAGCCACATGACAGCCAGTAAAATTGGAATTGAATCCTGGAAAGTACTGCAATGGTGTGTGGTTTCTGAGTCAATGAGATACATTTATTACCTGTGCTGGATATGGTTGCACTCCCCCTGAAATACCAGGCTTGCATTGAACCTTTTTTAAATTGGTTCACCAGCTATGGCTTGTCCTGGATGGCTTAGTCACAGTAGTACAGGTACTGGTAACCTCAAGACTGGATGTACTTTTTGTGGGTCCACCCTTAAGGCTGCTCTGGAAGCTGGAGTCAGTGCAGAATATAGCATCTTGTTTGTTATCAGGAGCTGTCTCTTTTCAGTCTATAACTCTGTCGCTGAAGGAACTGCATTGGCAACCAGTGTTTTCAGCTTTCTCTCCTGCCAACTTGCCAGTCACTAAGGCCATTGGAGGACATGGTCCTAGTGCTTCCACATTGACCCATGGTCTGACTGGAGTCCACCAGGAGAAGAGCCTTCAGTGTGGTGGTCCACATTTCTGTGGAATTCCTTCTCTCAGGAGGTCAGTCAGGCATCAACGCTATGCTATTTTCTGCACTTGCTGAAGACAATTTTATTCCAGTGAACCTTTTCTTGCTAATCCAGCCATGGTCTTAATGTCATTTAAATATTTTAATATATTGCTTTTATTATTTTATTCAATGTCATATGGTTTACCAGTATGGAATCTGTTTGAATGTAGGGCAGTATAGACCTACTATAAGCAAGTAAATAAGTGAAGTGATCAATACCAATCTAATTTAAATTGAATGATAGTGCTATAGCAAAATAATCTGCTTAAGTTAGATTGCAAGACTAATGGCTTGCTTTTACAGTTCACCTATTGAAGACCTGACCTATAAACTGTTGCTTTTCTCTTATTGTATTTGTATGCTGAGGCAGCTCTCATGAGGCCGCTGGCCAGTCCTGTTCTCTTCCTGAGGGAGCTGCTCTGATAAGTGAGTTGGGCACTTTGAAAGGGCAGCTCAAGACTCTCCAAATGTGGACTGGACAGCCAAAAATGGCTTGGTGTTGCAGCAGAGAAAAGGAGAGCCCATGCCAGTCACTCCTGGGAGTGCTTGGGCACTCCTGGGTTTTATGGCAGTAGCCAGGGATAGCTCAGAAAGTACCACATGGTTTCTTGTCATTCTTGCAGAATGAATTACTGGCTGTGGGACTTGGTGTGATCTGTCACCCAGTTTCAGATGACACAACAACCCACTGTGCTCAAAATAAAACTTATAACAGCCCATGTATCCTCAGCATGGCTGGTTTGAAAAATACAGTGCACTTGTGTTTGCATGACATAACAGCCAGCTACAGATTATTATCATTGATTAATGAATTGATGTCATGTGAACCCAGTAACCTGGTTGGGGCAACACCCTTGTTTGTTATCACAGGTTGGTTGTTGTAACCCCTAAATCCCTACCCTCTAAAGTAGATTTGGTGAGTGGATAGTTGGCTGCAAGGGGAAAGAGGCATTGCCAAAATTGCCTTTCTCCCTTGTCTGCTGATAATAAGCCTCTGTTGGATCAAAGAACCTCAGTAGAGCAACATGAGTTGGATACAGTTGATAAAAATCTACTCCTTACTTCAGCTAATTTTCTTAGAAGTTATAATTAAACACTTTTAGCTGTTTGCCAGGTAGTTTGATAAGGTTTGACCATTTCTTCTTTTAAGTTTATGGAAACAATAGAACTGAGTTCTGCAAGATGTAATGGTAACTGCTATTTTGGATGCCTTAGACAAATTCTTGGATGATAAGTACCCAGTGGCTTCTAGTCATGTTCTAGAATCTGTATTATTCTCAGTATTAGAAGAAGTGTTCCTTTTGATACCCATTGCTGAGAGACATGAGCAAGAGCATATTATGGCACTCATGGCCTGTTTCTAGACTCCTCATAAATATTTTTGGCCAATATGGAAACATTCTTATGAATTACATTCAACACTCCTAAAATTATAGGCATATTTCATGTAAAATACTTTTATACTAATGTTGAATTCTAGTTTCAACTTCAGCTCTGAAGGTAATTGCAGTCATGATAGTTTAAGAAAGGTTATTATCTGTATCTTAAGCAAAACGAGTCGTGGGTTCTTACTTAACATAAATCAATACAAATGATTTTGAGGATCATTGCAGAGCAGATTGGATTGTTAAATAACCAGTATTTCAGATTTAATTTCTCCATAATCTACAGTTGTTCTGGAGGTATTGCATTGGATCCAGAAAGCTACCTAGATTCTAGTCCTGGTGGAATACATGGTACAAATTGGTCATAACTTCAGGTTTGATTTTGATGGGACTAAAGATGACTAATACTCTGGATTCAACCCAGTTGTGACATCCCAACAGTCAATTTACATTAAAACACTGCATACCATGTTTTAAATGCAAAAAATGTCCTCAGCTGGTTTGTTTTAATGTGCTGCTCAGCTGTGTGCGAATTAGAAGAAAATATTTACTTCAGAATTGTTTGTATCCATCTACAAACAATTTTGCAGAAGAGTGATTTTTGCAGAAGAGTGATTTAGTGGTCTTATTTGGAAAATATTTATTGTCTCTTCCTTTTTTATAGAATGTGCCCACTTACTTTTGGCCCATAATGCTCCTGTGAAAGTGAAAAATGCTCAGGGGTGGAGTCCTCTTGCAGAAGCCATCAGCTATGGAGATAGACAAATGAGTAAGAAATAATTTCTCTGATTGTTTAGCATAACTACAGGAAACCTATTTTGCCTTGAAAATCAGCTGTGTATTGCAAGTCCTGATTCAAGTGTTTAGATTGGAGGGGGAAACGTGAAGTCTTCCAGATGATTTGACCAACAAATACCATCAGTTCTAGCCAGCATAGCCAATGGTGAGGGATGATGGGAGTTGTAGGATATATCTGAAGGCTATAGGTTTTCCATCCCTGCTTTGGATCATGAACAGATCCAGAGAATATAATGTTTGTATTAGTTTCTGCCATAGAATCAACTAGTATTAGGGTTGGTACAGAAATGAAGCTGGCTATCACTTTATAAGAGATCAGGAATGGATCATAGGAGCCTTTCCCCAAAGATAATAGTGTAAGGGTTACATTGGCACCAACTTTAACTATGAGTAAATAAAGAGCACTATTATATTACTGTTAGATAAGCTTTAGTCGAGCTTTAGTCGACCAACCATGTTTTAAGATCAAAACCAAAAAGGCATTATGGTGGTGCTGGTATTATCATAGCCTGCTTCTCAGCTGAAAAGTTCCTGACACATAAAGTGACTGACTCATGCATGCTATAGCAGTAAAATTATAAGGCCCAGGTTTATTCAGTTGCTTTAGCCTTTTAAGACTTTCATGGCAGATGAATATTAGTTTGTTTATATTGGAATTTGCTATTTTATTCAACACAAATTATTTGTTGTTGTTGTTAGTCGCGAAGTTGTGTCCTAACCCATCGCGACCCCATGGACAACATTCCTCCAGGCCTTCCTGTCCTCCACCATCCCCCGGAGTCCACTTAAGCTCACACCAACTGCTTCAGTGACTCCATCTAGCCACCTCACTCTCTGCCGTCCCCTTCTTCTTTTGCCATCAATTGTTCCCAGCATTAGGCTCTTCTCCAGGGAGTCCTTCCTTCTCATTAGGTGACCAAAGTATTTGAGTTTCATGTTCAGTATCTGGCCTTCTAAAGAGCAGTAATTTGCTAATTATGAATTACCTTTCAAGACTAATATATTTAGTATCTGTAACTTTTATATAGTTACTTATTGTAATATTCAGATAGATTATTTATTCCTTTAATTATGTACAATTAGAAGAAAACATTTTGGGATGGCAGATTAATGTGTTTCATTGCTTTTGAAAAAAGCATCTGATCAGTAGAATGCTTATGTACAGCTCCAATGTTCAAATGATGAGAGTTTTTTTGAGCATGAAGAACATCAATGCTATGGCCGCAGCTGGGGGTGCTTGTTTTAGCCCGTATTTTAGAAATGTCCCTTACAGAATTCTCAGATTGCTATATACAGTGGTACCTCGGCTCACGAATGCCTCAGTTCACAACCAAATCGGGTCGCAAACAAAAATTTCATAAAAAATTTGACTCAGGTCACAAACTCTGCATTGGGTGGCAACCACGATCGTGGCGAGTGGGGAGATGGCCTTGATTGTGCTGCGGGCGGGGGGGAGATGGACAAGATTGCTCCCGTCTTTCCTGCAGGAACACACCCGTGATTGTACCCGTCTTTCCTGCAGGAGCGCAACCATGATCTTGGCCATCTCCCCCACAGCACGATTGCGCCCACCTCCCCCCCCGAGTGTGCCCGTGTTCACGCCCATCTCTCCACACACACCCCAGCGCGCCGGGATGACAGACATGTGTAGGGATGACAGGCAGGATCGCGGTCATGCTGGGGGCGTCGGGGAGATGGCTGCACTTGTGCTCGGGGTGTGGGGAGGAGAGATGGCCATGATCTTTGTTGTTGTTTGTCACTTTGCTTCACATTTTTCTGATTAAAAAAATAGTTGCAGAACAGGTTAACCTTATTTATATTGAACCTTATGGGGAAATTTAACTTGGCTCACAACCAATTTGGGTCACGACCAGAGTCCTGGAACGGATTATGTTCATGAGCCAAGGTACCACTGCACATTCCTTCTGACATCAGTCTGAGACTTAGTTATGAGAGAGTTTAAAGGGAAAACATGGTTGCAGCTTCACTATTTCTTAGAGCGAAATTCAGGCAAGTTCATTAGCACACACAAAGGCTTTGTACCTGTGAACATATGATATATGTATCCTGTTATTACCTGAGGTTCCAAGTGGTATCCCATCCAAATTACTGACCAGACGATAGCTGCTTATCTTCAATAATGCTGAAGCATTTCATGTTTCCAGCTTTTCATGCGTTCCATTAAAGTGTTATGAAAGTAGATTGAGGTATAGTTCACACTATATTGATGCAGATTGACTTGTACCACCAGGCCTCCATACTTTTGTGTAATTGTTCTGTAACAAAAAATGTTTTAAAGGCAGTCCAATGTCCTGAGTCTTAGGCTTAGTGGATACTTAATGTCATTATATTTGGCTTACAGTATATTCATTTAGTTACAGCACTCCTAAGGAAATTGAAACAACAGTCTAGGGAAAGTGTTGAAGAAAAGAGACCTCGATTATTAAAAGCCCTGAAAGAGGTAAGCTTGTAAAAGCTTTATCATTTGTGATTTAAGATTATAAGTCCTTTAATTTTTAAATAATTTTCTAGTAGTTACACTAAATGTGGACAAACTGGCACTTCTGCAAGTCCTGTTTGAGTTAAAGCTTTCTAGAACTGCCTTGGTCAACTTTTTGTGTATGAACTGTACCTCATCATCTAGTTCATCAGAAAGGTTGGTCAGTAGGTTAGTCACTGTGTAGAAATAGCATGGATTTTAGGCAAGACCTTGGTGACAGAATATGACCTTTTTGTTGCATGTTGCCTATTCCTACCATGGGCTTAAGTGGTATGACTTTGCTGTGGTTTGTATATATAAATATGGAGCTTCTAATGTGATGATATTTGTCTTGGATAATAATGTATTCCTTGTCTCTATTTTTTGGCATTTTTATTTTTAGATTATTTTAAAGTTAATCAACTATTGTGTTTACGTAGCCCATTTCTTACTATACAGCAGTTTGGTCCTTCAGATGATAAGAGACTAAAAGTTCAAGAGCTCCCTCTTGTGAATTGAACTTTTCAGTACCATCCATCTTTTACCTGAACCTCCAGCTACTCTAAGAAAGGAGATATTAACTCTCTCCCTTTCTGGTAGATTATTTGGAGCATTTATTCTTGCTATTACAATAGTTCACTGACAGTTGTTTAAAAAAACCTGCAAAAATGTGCAAATGTAATGACTGTGCAGTAGAACTTTGCTCACCTGCAGTAACAGAGCAGTAAATGTATCTAAATTTCCCTCCATTTTCTTCCCAGCCACTTAAATTTTCATTTTTCCCAGGCCCTCCAAAATGCACAAATATTTACAACAGTTTAAAAAAAAAGTTAGAGGTTGCAGAACAAATGAGGTGCCAATACCGCTGGCACTTACATGTCCCCCAGTACAGCTCCATTTACTCTGTTCTTTCTTAGGGTTATTTTAGAACTACCAGGGAACTATAGTAACCACAGCAGTAAGTGCTCTAAAAAGTTGTTAAAAGGAACAAGAAGCTTATACCACCCTTTTCTGAAGTAACAAGCCATAGATTTCTTCTCTTCAGTTTCAGTCTTTCTTCTCTTTGCACACACACGGCTGCAATATTCTCACCCTACTGTCCTGATTTATGTGGAAGTCTGGCACAACTTTTGTTAGGAAGGAACTGTCAGAGTGCAGAACAACCTTGTCTTTGTGGAAGTCCATGTATGGAAGGTCCACTTGCAAAGCACAAAATCCACCTAATTGCCTGGCTGATGTGATGGCAGCCAGAAATGCCACTTTCCAGGAGAATAGATGAATATCTGAGGTAGCCAGAGGTTCAGAGGACTTAGTGGAGACTGCTTTGAGAATAACTGAGAGGTTCTAATAAAAAAGAATTCTGATCAGAAAGACAAGATTTCATATTCTTTTGAGGAATTTTTTACCTCTGGGATGTGAAAAAAATGGAGTGACCTTCTAAGACAAGTTACTTATTTGTAACTAGTTTTTCAAGTAATAATCTGTGCATCCACATAACCCACCCATCATTGAACTTGAATTGGAATTTATACTCATACTGGTACTGAAATTTTCTTGGTTCCAAAGCCAAAATAGGCAGTCTCAGCAAATTGAGACAATAGCAGGGAAACCCACTGATAACACGAATACTAAAATGGGAGCGGGGGTGTTCCTGCCAACAGTTCCTCAGCCTTAGAAGCTTCCCAAATTGAGGCTCTGTGTAGGCACGGAACCCGTATGTGTGAATGTACAGATGACTACTCAGAGTAACAGTTGCAGGTAAGCAAGCTGTCTGTTTCTTTTCACTGGTTGCACAAGTTCCTGTGGAAACTTCAAATGTAGCCTTCTTTTCTTCAGATTGGTGTGTGTCTTCCTTTATATTAGTACAGTAGGATCACCATATGCACTAATTCAGTTACTGCAGTTTCGCTTAGCCAGGGTTGACCTTGCTCTGAAAGAGAAGTCATAAAGTGCTTCCTTTAAGTGGAAGTTCTCAATTTAATAGGGAAAGAAAAAAAAATCGTATGCTGAGGATGCTAGGGTATATGTGCAGAACAAATCTTCCATTTGTGAAAAAGAAATGCATATTCACAGTATATAGTGTTCAGTACTATCTCTGGTTTCAAGCATCTGCTGGGGGGCTTGGAACCTATCCCTGCAGATACTGGAGTCCTGCGCTAGTTATATTAAGAACTGGCCTTGAGCTTGAACACTCCATTCTTCCATATCCCCTCTTTAAATAGCCCAGTCATGTCCCTTTAACAACTGACTTGCTTGCACTAGGGACAAGGCTTCATGAAGGTAATGCATGGAATTCTCACTAGAGCAATAGCAAAAAGGACAAAGCTGTCTCTTCTACTTTGCCAGCTTGTTTGGCTTCTGTGTTGGCTGTAGGTAAAAGCAGATCAATGTAGTGTAACAGGGACAGTGTTGCTGCTCCCCCACTTGGTCCGTTTCTGTGCTGGAAATATATTAGGCAAAGTCCCTTCCTCTGTGACTGGCACAAAAATCAAGTGGATTTACTGCGGAGATAGGGATTGATTCTGTTTTTATGCTGGATATGCATAAAGGAGTTTTGTCTGTTCATCAGAGAAACACAGGCTAGAGGAGGAGGTATTGATCAGTCACTACTGCCTTGGCCGGCTCACTTGCCTTCCACGTGGACCATAGAAGAAGCGCATTACTGTTCCTAGGCAAGCACAGAAGTCAAGTGTGTTATCAGAAGCCTGGCGTGATCTGTGTCACCTTTGCTAGTCTGCTGTCTTTCTAACTTGAACAATTATGAGCTTGTTTTTTAGTCTGAAGAGGGACCCTTTACTCATATGAGTAAAAAGTAGGTGAGTAAAATAAAATCAGGCTAGACACTTCTGTGAAATGCTGACATAATCAGAGGGTCTATAATTTGGTTGTTTACTTCATCATGCAGCAAGAGGAAATAGGGGCCAGGTGAGGAAAGTACAAGCCTGCTTCTAAGCTATCTGTCTGAGGGGATGCATGGTTTTAACAGCCTCTTAGAGTAACATCAGTGGAATGATACTCATGGGTGAGAGAACATCTTATGACATATTGTACACTATTTTATATGTGACAAGAACTAATTGCTCCTGAAACAACTGAGCACCAACACTGGTTTCTAGAACTGGGTAAGAGAGCTCCATTCATCTCTCCTATTCTGGAAATTAGCTTTGTTAGAACCTGTCCTATTCTGGAAAGGATCCACACATTTCTGGATTTATATCAGGAAATGCTAGTTCCTGTTGCAATATCAATCCATTCTGTGACTGTGTGGTCTGTAGGTATAGGAGTACTGTCTTGTATCTATTTACAAGATTAAGTAGATTTTAAAAAAAATCTATAGTTTTGAACAAACAATTTTGGCTATATTCTGCATATTTTAAACTATTAGTGGAAATGTGTAGAGGTGCCAATTTCAGTCCTTTTGTGGATAAAATCAAAAGTTAATGTAGATTTTTAAAAACTGTTAATGGAAAAAAGATATTCAAATAGGACGTGATTAATATATCTATAAAAGTTTTTCATGTTCAAGATGAAAGGATTGTATGTTTTAGTGTTTCTGAAAAACATAAATAAAAACATGGAAGTAGTAATCAATTAATTATCATTTAACAGTTACAATTTTGTTTCCTTTCAGCTAGGTGACTTCTATCTTGAACTTCACTGGGATTTTCAAAGTTGGGGTAAGGTTTTTTGTTTTACTTTTTTCCTGAAGACTAAAAAGGTTGATAGTATGTTTTTCAGACTTTCTACTTGTGTTGATCATGCTTTTAAGAAGGTGTCTGTGGCAGCCCTGCCCCAAGTTGTATGGAAGCCTTCATGAATACAGCTGTGTGGATGAAGAAGATGTTGGTGCTGCATGTGAAGACAGCAAGGCAGTGGGGCTTCTTGCTGTATATGATTTTGTGAGAAGGGTCTCCAGCAAAATGTGCCCCATCGCTTGCTGTGGCAGTTGCTCATTGTCCACTACAGCAAACAGTGAAGAGGGACAGCTTTGTTCTGCTGGGTCTCCTTCAGAGAGGGTTCAACAGAACATGATTTGGATCCTGAGAAGACTAATTATGTTTAACTCGGTGTCTATACCAAGTTAATACAAACCAGAATTTGAACCCACTTTGAGCCATGGTCCTAAACAAAGGTCATTGCTTCTTTAGCACCTTTTTGGTACCTGTTTGGCACTGCTTGGGGCTGGAACATTTGCCTAGTAGACTGAAAGAGGACAACTTTGCAGCCACAGGTGCAGCAGCTTTTAATTTTATTCTTTTACTGAGATTAGCATATGATACTGGGTACCGCTGGGGAGCATGGGAGTGCACCTATTACTATGGTTATGGGTGGGGGAAATATGGAGCTGGGGAATTAACAGGCCAGCAAAGGAGAAGAGGGATTAGATATCTGAAAGCTATCCCCTTTTCTTGTTCTTCCCCCAGCTGGACAATTACTGGTAGCCATACCATTGTACCCTCAGGCATTGTGGTGGTGTTGTTGAATCTCAGGTCAGCCCAAAATATGATCTCCTTCATCCATGACTAATGGAGGGGCTGACCTAGCCTGCATTACTGAAACCTGAGTGGGGGTAATGGGAGGGATTCTCCTTTCCCAGTGGTGCCCACCCAGGTACTCAGTGCAGCACCAGCATTTCCTTGATGGTTGGGGAGGGTGGATAGCCATGATCTGTAGGAATTTGATCTTGAGCTGAGGGCAGTGTAGCAAGAGGAAGATAGCTAGAGCTTGGATGGGAGAAAACTTGCAAGGAGTCTGACTAAACACGTCTTAGAGCTCATTAACGAGCCTATTCCATGGCAGTGAAGTGACAATTCTGTGCCACCAGCATTTCATTTTCACAGTTTCATCCATCTGAGCTTTTCCAAGTGATTCATAGCATTTTACATGTTGGGCCAGCAGGAGAGATTATAGAACCCTTGGTAGCTTGCTGTGACAAGTATGCTTGAAACTTTGAAGATAAAGTTGCTCTAATATGGCTCCTAATAGAGTTATTCAGAGCACCATCTGGTCCAGTTTTGTTGGATGAGTTACAGTTATTGAGGCCTGAGGATGAGGACAAGGTGCTTGGTCAAGTTTGACCTACCACCTGTATGTGCGACATTTGCCTATATTGGCTAATCAGGATAACTAAGGAAAGGATTCACACCTTGGTCAGGTGACTGTAAGTGCCTCTTTGAGAGAGGGAGTGGTACCAGCCTCATTTATTAATTCACTCCTAAAAGTCCAAACTTGTACCAAGTAGTTGTGAATATCTACAAACCTGTTACAAATAATTTCTTCCTGGGAAAGGAGTTTGTGTATGTGGTGGCTGGGCAGTTCCAAGCTTTCTTGGATGAAACAGACTTTTGTTTTGCCAAGGGCAAAAGTTCTTTTTGGATCCAGAAGCAATGTGCACACAGGTGGATTAAAGTCTAAAGATTTTATTCTAAAACCAGCGCTATAGTGTAAACAGACATAAAAACATGGAAAAGGAAATATAATACCAAGTAAGTTGGCTTTCTTCCATCAGCCATCTGGAGACTCCTCTCGCAAACGACAAGGAAAAAGCCCTAATTCTTGGCTGGCGTGTGTCACCTTCCTTGCTTGGCTAGATCTCAAAATGAAGCTTGCTTGGATGGGGGCTGCGAGGCTTCTCTCTCTATCCTAAATCTAAGAGTGCTACTTGCTGTAGGAAACTATGTCAAAACAGTTAATTAGCCACATCTGCTCTTCTTCATCGTGGCCTCTGTGCATCACACATATGGGTTCTGCACCTGCACAGTGCCTTTGGCCGGAAGATTAACAGCTAACGGTTTTTGGCAGGAACTCCGCTCCCCCTCCCCCCTAGTATTATATAAGGAGTGGAGTATCCACCATTTTCCAGTCTTTGCAACTGCCGTTCATTGTGCCTCGTGCCGCTTCGCTCTCGCTTAGATCATTACTTACCTCTCGCTTGTTGAAAAACTTCCCTTTTTCCTTACCGAGTTAGTATTCCCTTGTTCCTGTTACTGTTAGTATTTTCTCTTAGTTCTTGCTTTTCAATTTTTTTCTCTCGTTCCTGTAAAAACAAAACCAAAAAAAAAAAAAAAAATTATTCTCCCGCTTTACTATCTCCTTCTCTTCTTTTTCTACGATGGCACAACGGGCGGCGTTCCGCAAGTGCGGGAAGTGCGGCTCCAAAATGCCCGCCGCGGACCCACATGACCTGTGCCTCCTTTGCCTGGGGGAAGGGCACAGGACAGATAAATGCGGCCACTGTTTGGCCTTCTCCAAACAGGCGAGGAAGAATCGGGAGAACTGCCTCCGCAAGCTCTTGTGGGACCAGGCTCTCCAATCGGACCAGCGGTGGCTAAGCCCCCCACAGTGGCTCCACCCGAAGGCCATCCAACTTCAGCTGACCTGCTGCAACGCCTGGCCTCTTCCTCCATTGCTCCGCCCTCACACCCTTCTGAAGAAGGTGCTCCTAGCATGGCTGATCAGCCCGTTTCCCTACCGAGGAAACAAAAAGAGAACAGGAAGCACAGTGATCCGGACAAACATCCTGTGCATAAGAAGGCCAAAAAGGATAAGGCTGGCAAGCCGGTTAAGAAACCGAGGAATCCCGAGCATACAAAGCATCGCCACTTGGGTTCGGCGACCTCCTCGATCCCGACTCCGGCCACGGAACTGACCCCCTTGGTCCCGACCGTCCAGGTGGCTATGAGGGTTACTCCACCAGGCTCACCGTGCCGACCGGCAGCCGAACCCCTTCAGGACCCATGGCGTGGTTCCATCTTGGATGGTGAAATAAGAGATTCCCCACCGAGAGCTCGGTCGCCAACACCAATGCCGCCCATCCCTCTGGATACCGACATCGCCATCTCTCCTCTGAGAAGCCGTAGGAGCCGTTCTTCGGATGCTAGATCCAATGACTGGTACCATTCCCAATACTCCGTTCTGAGACAGGAAGAGTACCCATCTGTGGCCTATTACCCGGTTTCCAGAGGATGATCCTCGCCGCCAGCTCCTTGGGATCGTTTCCATTCTACACCCAGAGACGCCCTGAGGGCTCCATCTAGAGAGAGCGGCAGATCGGAGTCACCAAGAGATTCCTCTTCCAGTGCCCCACCTCCTTACTGGATGGAATCTGATGAATCCGAGGTTGACTCGACCTTGCCAGATGCAGCGGTTACTTCGCAAGGCCCAGGGTCACCTGAAGAACTGTACATCTCTTTCAATGAGTTAATGGCCAGGCTGGTGAGGTCACTCGACAACGAAGTCCATCAACAACCGGGACCAAACACTGACTGTTTTTATGATGTGGTCAGGGGCGAACGATCCACCTCTATCGCCCTACCGTTCATAACGACTCTGCGGCAGGCAATGACTCAGCCATGGGACCTCCCAGCCCACCCACAACCGACTTCACGTTAATATGAATCCATGTATTGGGTTCAGAAGGGGGACATCCCGTTCCTCCTCCGTCACCCCAAGCCGAACTCGGTTGTTGTGGAATCTTCTCAGGGCCGGGAAGCACGTGGACACACTTCGCCTCATGATAAGGAGGGAAGAAAAGTTGACTTCCTCGCCCGCCGGGTGTACGCAGCTTCTGGCCTTGGATTATGAATTTCAAATTAGGAGGCGACCCTGGTGCGCTATTAATATTTCCTTATGCAGCGCCTAGACACTATCATTGACACCTTCCCAGGCAACCAGGGCGAGCTAGCGAAAACCTTTGTTAAGGAAGCTGTGCAAGTGGCGGTGCAGCAGCTTTCTACAGTGAGGCACCATGTTGATTCTGATTCAAGGTCGCTCGTCGGTGCCATTTCTCTCCGCAGACACGCCTGGTTGCGTAATTGCAATTTTCCTGAAGAAATGAAGCGGAGAATTGAGGAGATGCCGTTCGACGGATCCGGTCTCTTCAATGCGAAGACGGATAGTAAACTAAAAAAGATCCATGAATCCAGAATGACGGCCCGTCGTATGGAACTGCAATCCCAGCCTCGACATAAGTGGTCATGGTCACGCCCGCAATACCGCCAACAATACCAACCTCAGCAACAACAACCACACCAATGCCAGCAACGCCGCAGGTAGCAACTGTCCCAGCGCTTCCAGCAGGGCCGCCGCTGCTTCGACGCGGATAGGCGACAGTGCTGATGGGACGAGCGATCCTTTCCTCTCCTCCCAACTTCACCCTCCCCTCTCTCATTTGGGTACCGGCTGAAAAGTCGGCTCTCCACTTGGGAGTCCATTACCTCTGACAGGTGGGTGTTATCCATCATCCAGCACAGATATAGAATTGAATTCGATGTTGTTCCATCATTGAATCCTATCCGTTTTACACCGACCTCGTTGGTACTGTTGGACGAGATTCACCAACTCCTTACTAAAGGAGCTGTTCGTTGCTTATCATTATCAGAAGGACTCCACGGATTCTATTCCAGATATTTTACTGTCCTGAAACGAGATGGGGGTCTCCGACCCATATTGGACTTGAGAGCTCTCAATAGTTTCATAACACCAAAGAAGTTTTGGATGACCACGCTCCAAAATATCCTTCCATTGCTGGGGAGAGGGGATTGGTTCGTGTCGCTGGATTTGAAGGATGCCTGTTTTCATATTTCAATACATCCACGATATAGGCGCTTCCTTCATTTTGCAGTAGACTCCGAAATCTACGAATTCAAGGTGTTACCATTTGGATTAGCCACTGCAC